GGGAGGTGGGGGGGGGAGGGCGGGGGGAAGTGGTTCCCGCTGGGCTTAAAAGCGTTGAAGGAGATGGAATTGGGCCTTCGGTTCCGACATTGGGGTCTGTCACCCGCGGAAGTGCGCCTGGCGCTCTATGCGGCTTTGCTGCTGCCGTTAGCGAACCTTAGGTACCGGGAAAAGACGGGGAAAAAGTTGAATTTGAATTTAAACAAGAAGCCGCTGGAAGTGAGTCGTTACGTGTTCGCCCGCATGCTGAAGATGAAGGCTAAGGACGCGGACAAGTTGATTCTGCTCCATCAAGTCGTGGATGGCTTCGTCCCTTTTCTGGAGGAAGGCAAGAAGGGAAGGAGGGAAGGAGGGAAGGAGGGGGGAATGGAGGCGCGGTTGAAACGGGAGCAGATAGGAGGGTTGATGCTGCAGGTTGGCCCCTTATGGCGAGCCGCCCTGCTGCTGGCGGCTGTCAAATGTAGCATCAGGGAGGAGGAAGGAGGAACGAGGGCGCAGACCATGGGCAGTGCCTCGTTTGTGAGGACAGGGGGCTCGGGGGGGAAGGACGGGATAGAGGGGAGGGACGGTCAGGGGGGAGGGGGAAGGGGAGGGGAAATTCTCCTACCGACAGGCGGCCTTGCAGGTATCCGACTACATCCAATCCGCGGGGCTGTCAGAGATCTACCTACAAGCCCCTCCGCTGGATGGAGAAGGCTTGCGAAGGGTCCTCCCTGGTATTCCCCACGGCCCGCCCTTTCGCCTTGTCATGGATGCGCAGGTGGGCATCTGGCTGAGGGAGCCGGAGGTAGGGGGGGCAGAGATGGGAAGCCGTCTGCGGGAAGCGTTTCCCGAGTATGGCTGAGGATCAGGAGGGGCGGAGGGGGGGGCTGTACATAAGACGATCACGGCGTTTAGACTTACCAAAAACACTGAATGGTCTCGACACCACAAAAGAAAGAAGAAAACAGTATGGATCTACCTCGGACAATTCAGATCGTGTGATCTTCCCTGCTTCCGATTCTTTGTGCTGCCTGAGCTCCTTGGCAGAGAAATGAAAGTGATCCTGGATTCCAAAATTTTGCATATCTACACTATCTACGTTACACTGCCCCTCCTTTCCCCCTCTTCTCGCCCATCCCTCTCCCCCTTTTACCGGGCAGACAAGCTACAAGGTGGCCCTGAAAACCCTTTCTTCTTCCCCATTCCATGTCCTCCTCTGCCATTTCCTCCCTCCCCCCCTCTCCCCCTCCCTCCTAGCACACGGGCATGACACCCGCCCAGTTCCCGACGATGTTCAAGGACAAGGCCAAGGCCACGCAGGCCGTTGGAACCACGGGTAGGTGGGGCAAGACGCCGAAATTGGAGCCCCCGCATTGAAGACCCGGCCAATGCTTCTGGAAGAAATGCGCCGTCACCACCGTCCCTGCCCCGGAGACAAAGTGCCAGGCCGTGTGCCAATCATCGTACTGGCGGCCCGCGCACTGCCGGAACCCGGGGCCGTGTCTATGCTCCCGGGCCAGAGAGGCGGGCATGCCACAGAAGACGATCAAAAAGACGGCTATCGGGAGACCGACCACGGTGGCGAAGCAGTGGGTCCAGTCCTGCACATGGATCGCCATACACCCCGCATACAGGGTGAGGAAGAGAAGGGAAGAGGCAAAGGTGTTGTCAAAGTTAAAAAAGACAGCCTCCTTCCGAATATGATAGAGGCTGGATCCGGCGCATGTGACGATTTGCAAGGTCCCGAAGGCGTATTGTCCCAAATACAGGGAATAAACGCCAGCGATACCGTACACGCAAGATGACCAGACGAGCTTGTCAGAGACAGGCCGTATAAGGTCGTCCACGTGCAGGCGTACCGTCACGTCGTCCAAAAGGGGCGAGGGCTTGATGAAGTAGTCGGCGTATGAGCTGATAAAAAGGGCAAGGCAGGCTTTCTTCAGGAGCAAACTGTTTTGAGGAGAGGGATGAGATCTTGTGTTTCAGAGCATGTAGAGGACAACCTGGATGAAAGAAGGATGGGACCATAGAGTGCTGCTACTTCATGTCTGATTTGGCCTTTCTTGTAATGACTTGGCTTTCAGTCCCATAGTGACCTCCCTTCCACTCCGTGTGCTCAAGATTCTATTCCTCGAATCAACGACCGTCGACGAACTCACCTCACGTCGTCATTTTCCAAAAATATGAGGGCCGCAGCCAGCAAGCTTAAACATGAGACGTGGCGTTTGCTCAGCGCTCTGTAATGCCGACCGAGCTCGCCTACATGCTCCCGGACCTCGACAGGCACGTCATCCTCCTCCTTGTCCTCCACCGTATGTGGCGTAGACATGAGTCCTACAGCAACCACCGATGGTAGCAAGCGCTCCTCTTCGTCGACGCGGCTTGATACCATCATCGCAGGCCTCACGGTGCTTGCCGCAAATGCTTCTCCTCCCTGACCTGGCGTGAGATGTGACTGATTAAATGCTGTTGGTATGCAACATGACGACGTTGCATCGCTAAAACCTCCTGGCCGCCCAGGTTTTCCTCATCCAAAATTCATGCATCTTTTCCTGTTGTTTTTCGCTCACATGACAATTTTGTCATTGCATGAATAGATTTCCTGGGAAAATGCCTCGGGAAGTCATCACGCTGCAAGTGGGCCAGGCAGGGAACCAGATAGGTCGACGCTTTTGGGAGCAGGCCCTTGAAGAACATTGCCAACCCGACGAGGACGATGACCACGGTGAATTGAAATTTACGGACAGCATGTCTTCATTTTTTCATCTTCACGACAACGATGATTTGATATGTGGGACTGCTAGGAAAGTCCGGGATCGTATTGTCAAACCTGGCGCTCTAAAAGCGCGGGCCGTATTAGTAGACATGGAGGAGGGCCCGGTCACGGAGACCCTTCGAGGACCTTTACGAGGACTTTTTGACAGCCATCAATCATTAACAGACGTCTCAGGGGCGGGAAATAATTTTGCACACGGCCATCACTGTTATGGACCGCAATATGGGGAGAGTGTTTTGGAAGCTGTTCGTCAGGCGGCAGAGCTGTGCGACTCACTGCAATCCTTTTTCCTGATGCATTCTTTGGGAGGAGGAACTGGCTCTGGCCTCGGCACATACATACTGACATTGTTGGAAGACGACTTTCCGCAAGTCCACCGTTTCGTAACGGCTATTTTTCCTTCGGAGGATGACGACGTGGTCACCTCGCCCTATAACAGCGTCTTGGCTCTGCAGCAACTAACGGCGCACGCGGACTGTGTTCTCCCCGTGGAAAATCAGTCCTTGATGACCTTGGCCGCCCCCTTTCCATGGGTGACCAGATCCGGCAGCACGGTCGCGGGGTTTCACCGGCCGTCGACCATGGATCGGCTACTCGCGCCTCCCTGCCCTCCGGTGGGATTGCCCAAGGAAGGAAAAATGCGGCCTCTGCCGCGGCCCACACCAACGGCCGCACCGGCTCCAGCTGCAGCCGCTCTGCGGGGGGCAGCCGGTGGATTGGAGCAGGCAGCCGAGCGGCCAGCGTGTGGTTTCGATGGCATGAACGATTTGGTGGCCAGGCTGCTACTGGACCTGACGGCCTCCATGCGGTTCGGCGGCGAGTTGAACGTGGATCTCAACGAGATCACCACCAACCTCGTCCCCTACCCTCGGCTGCACTATCTCATGTCCAGCCTGAGCCTGTCTTCGTCGACCGGTACTTCCCGCAACAATGCTCAGGAATGGGAACCGCTGGGCAGTGCTCAAGCCGCAGCCTCTCTCCATTTGCGTCAAATCTGCTCGAAAGTCTTCGCCCGGGAGAATCAGCTCTTGCGTGCCGATCCACGGCAAGGGTCCGTCCTGGCGTGCGCCCTTCTCTTTCGGGGACAGGAGCTCTCCCTTGCAGACGTGACAGAAAACGTCAAAAAACTGCAGCGGGAAATGAACATGGCGTCGTGGAACAAGGACGGATTTAAAATCGGCCTCTGTCAAGCTACGGGCTCTTCCTCCTCCCCAACGTCCTCTGGGCCTCCCCCTCCACCTTCCTTGCTTTCTCTGACGAACAACAGCTGCGTGACTAGCACGTTCTTGCGTCTGCTCGGGCGGTTTCAGAAGCTTTACCGACGCCGGGCGATGGTGCATCACTACGCCGAATATATGGACGTTACCCTTCTGGAGGAGGCGAGGGAGGACTTGCGCGGGCTGATCGAGGAGTACCACGGGGTTGGAGCGAGAGGAAAAGCGGTAGGGAGGAGGGTGACAGGCTGTGGGGCGGGCTCGCTTGTTGCTTGAGCCGGTGCTAAGCAGGGGCTGGTGAGCAAAGTGAGAACATTTGGGACCTACCAGGCCGTACCGCGATCGGAAAATGGCGGACCTTTAAGGTCCTGCTACTTGAGAATATATAGTAACGTCAAGGCGACGCAAAAGTTGACGAAAAGGCGACGCAAAAGTATATTTGAAGGGCAACACAATAACTTCTGCCTAATGGATGCGGAAACACATGAATTCACGGGCAGGAATCACAGCATTCCTGATTTTTTCCATACACACATGTTTTCTTTCTGTTCACCTTTGTATCTGGCAACTTTCTTCTCACTTTCTCCTCCCTCTACGACCCCCACGCAAAGATTTCAGGATCTAGAGGTAGCAGAGCCTGTCGAAATCCTCTTTTTCCTGAACCCTCGACGCCTCATCTTCCACCCTCTCTTTTCCAAGTGGTCTTTTGTCCGTTAAAATGCATTACCAACCTGGTCGCCTTACACACCTCTCTAACGTGCACATTCGTCCGCTGCTTGCTTTCTTGCATCCTGCTGCGTGCCATGTAAAATGTGCTCCTCCAACTTCCAGTGTTTCTTGCTTTCTAACAAGCGCTGGCAGGTACCCGAAGAAGTGCTCTTGACTGTTGATAGTCAAAATGCTTAGCTAACGAAGTGGTTTGTTGTCCTATTCTCTACTTTTCTAATATTACAAGGTGCACCCCCAATTCCTAAATCCACGAGTCAATCGCCAACTGCCCCCCCACGAGCGTCACGTGAACGACCTCGAACACGCTTCGTGTCCGACACGATTTTTTGACTACCTCTGCAACGACAAGCTTCGCAGATTGTAGGGGACGGGGAGAATCATTTGCATCCTGTGGTTCTTGGAGTGCTCGCTGAACTGGTTTTCACGGCGCCATCCGCGATGCTCATACTTGTACCTGTGTGCGGCCGCTTGCGGATGCTCTTGACAGCTCCCACACAAATCGTAGTCATAGCACTGTGAGGAAGAAAAATGGTCAAAGGATATACGGTAAGGCGCAAGAGAAAGGCATCGAGTGTGCCGGAGAAGGCTTCAAAGGGGCGACAAGTCGCTTCCCGTCCCGTCCGCGCGCAAGGAACGAGGCTTCCACACGTACCATGCAGCATTTGTATCTAGGCCCTGTGAAGTCCGTCGCCCCACAACGGTCGCAACAGAAGCCCAAGTGCCGGCCTTGGATCACGTAGTCCATCGTTTGTCTGGCATTCATGTGCTTGTGTTGGTAATAGACGTTGCGGACGCGGAACGATTGGTAGCCAAAGCGTTCAAACAGGTTCACGACCTGCTCCAATTTCAAGGTGCTGTACTTTGGAGACGCTCGACGTGGGCGGACGCGAGGGCGGGAGGAAAATAAAGCGGCGTTGGCCAAGGCGGGCGGGGCAAGGAAACAGGCAAGGGCCCCCGCCGTGCCTTCTCGGTCTTCCGTGGTTGCTCCCGCGGCAGTCACCCCCTTCTTGGTATTTCCCCGAGATGGACCCGTCTTTCCCATCCGTTCGTTTTTTTGATCGCCGGCACTGCTGCTTTTTCCCACGTACTGCTGGGAACAGTCCTCCTCGACCATCTCATCCTCCACGTCCATACACATCAAGGAGCGCGCTCGCTCCGCGGCTTGTAGGCTGTCTTGGCCGTAGTACATGACGCAGGCCTCGTGAAAGAGCTCCTCCAGGTACCCGCGGTAGGTTCCTTCCACAACAGCTTCCATGCCCTCCACATAAAAGGTCAAAATTTGTCCATTCTCGACCCCGATGTCCCGCAGAGTCGCCTGTTCCTCAGGCCGTTCCCTATTGTTATCCCGAGGACGGGCCACCCCCCGCAGATGTTGCGCGGGAAGGGGACAGGCAATCATCCGGTGCATTCCTTGGCCACAGCGTTGCCACGTGGCAGGCGTGGTTTCCATGTGGGCGCCCAAGGTCTCTGGAGGCCTGTGCACAAGACCCCCGACCAGGACGAACATGTGCCGCAGGAGGGTGCGGTGCGTCACCACCGCGTGGGAGAGGTAGGCGATTCGACCCGAGACAGGGTTCATCCACTTGAGGAAGACCAGCACGTGCATATCGGGGGAGGGCATGGGGCAAGGGGGAACGACAGCCAGGGCGGCCGGATCCTCCGTAGCGGCGGCCGCTGATTGGGCCGCATGGGATTGGTGGCACAGGTCACGCGAGTCCGGCATCAACGCCACAGGTGAGAGCGTTTGATGGGCCTGACACTGGTGCAGTCCTGGTATATCGGGTAGGCATCCGTCAGCTTCCCCTCTCGAGTTCTCTCCCTTGTCCGGCTGGCTGCCTTGCCCTTCATCTTGGCTGGTGGCCATCAGGACGGAGAGCTCTGGCGCGTCCCTCTCTTCCTCATCCATCTCCTCCACGGCCGCCGTGCCACTGGTCCAGGCTGGTGTGGAGGCAAAGCCTCCATCCTCCGCGCATTCCGCCCAGACCCTGGCGACGCCGAGACCGTCCATGTGCAGTTGAAGGAGGGAGAAGAGGGTGACAGCGGAAGCATCTTCGTCGGCCAGGGGGGCGGCTGGAGGGGCGGGCACCGTGGGAGGGACGGGTGCCAAGGGAGCTAACGGCGTGTGCTGCGGAGGAGTCACCGCGGCGTTGGGGTTGAGCTGGTGGGGGTTTTGGTTTTGTGCCACCGGGGGCGCGGTCGTTGGGGTTGGTTGCCCGTTGCTGCTACTGCTGTTGCTGCTGCCCCCTGCGTTCGTCAGAATCTCCCGCGGGCACAGGATGGTGTCAGGCCATGGCTGGGTAAAGACCCAGAGCCGGAAATGCTCCGGGGAAGGCATGCCCAAGTCACGTGCCAACATCTCCTTGAAGGCCGTCAAGGTCGTGCAATGGAAAAGCTCGTACGTGAGGCTGTCGTCCGCCCCGGCCGGGGCCTCAGCCCCCGTGTCCATGATCCCAAAGCCTTCGTGGGCGGCCAGGTGGGCGTTCCGCACCACTTTTACGGTCAGGTACAAGAGGCGGAGGCGGACCTTGAGCTTGAGTGCGTCGTCCACCACGAATCCGGAGGCTGGGTCTTTAAGTTTAGTCACCGGCAAGAGGGAATGGACTCCCCAATTCTTCCGGTTCTTGTGGAAACGATCGTTAAGCATGGAGGAATGCCAGGTCACGTTCCGACCTTTGCGTTGCTGGTTGCAAGCAGTGAGAGAAAAGGCACAGCAACACTCCCAGTCCCCCGGAGGAGACCCAATCCCCCCCCCATGACCATAGCCACTCAGCGCCGCCATCGCAGCCGCCTCCATGTGATGGTTCGGATTCAGGCCCGTGGGCATCCCTGTCGCGGCAGCAGCCGTAGCCGCGGCTACGGCTTCCGAAAAGCCGGGGTTTTGAACCAGAGCCTCGGCGACGGGAGGGATGGGTAGGCCGGCGGCTACGGAGGCAGCCAGTGCGGCAGTCGCAGCGGTGGACGGCGGAAGAGGAGCTGCCGGTGAACAAGCCAGGTAGACTGACACACCAGGCTCGAGAAAATAAACGTTCGGGTTCCCAACAGGGTCGACGATCACTTTGAAGGTGTAGTCCTCGACGCGGAAGGAAGGGGAATATCTCCGCTCAGGGTTGGAGAGGAAGTCCGTGACCGTCCATTCAAACACAGCGGACCGATTGCGCCGATTCCGGTCTTGAAACAAAGCTTTCCAGTCTCCGTTGTATGGCATGATGTCGTAGGTTTCCTTCAAATGGGGGAAAAGTCGCCAAGCTGCATTCTCCCAGTATGAACGATGGTCTGTCAATTGGCAAAAGTCCTTGCACACGCACGCGCACGTGAGCAAGGACTCCCCGTCAAGAAAGGACAGCGTACGGGACAACAAATCTAACGGAAGATTATCCATGACTTGCACAGAAATTTCCAGGGATACAGCGACTTTGGCCTCGCTCTACAGAGGAAAACGGCGCAGGAGGAAAGATGGGATGGGCTCAGGAAGGACTGCACACGGCTTTCGACGCACCTTGCGCGTCCACAAGACCCTGGCCCTATATTTTGTAAGAGATTGGTCTAATTAGTCCGCATGAGCAAGAGCGTTGCAATTTGGTGCACGGAGGCTTTTGAAAATATCACATCGAGTTTGCCTATGTGTATGGGCGCTCTCGCTTCGTCACACTAGAAAATTATAAGAGCTGGAACAATACCATCTCTCTGGAAATTAAGGTATTTCTTGTGCAAGCGTTCTATACAGCATGGTTTAAATCGTAGGATGGCGGCATCGAGAGGGACGGTCACTTCGATACGTTTTACAATGTCCGTGGGCGTGTAAAGTGAAGGACAAGTAGACAGCGGGCATAAAACACTCCCGCAGACCCCACTAGCAGGCACCGCAAAAATCAGAAAAATGAGGAGTCGACGGCTCCAGCATGCATCCTCGCAATCGTTACGCAGGCATCGAAGCCATCCAGGCCTGGTTCAAAAGAGCAAGCCATCCTTATTCATGGGTTCAATTTCGAGAGCTTGGGCCCCCGTACTGGAAGTCTCGCCGAGTCGTCTTGAGCGACATGGAAGCACCAACGACATTACACGGGGACGTAATGTCCCGGGAACGACAGGATACGCTCGCAGGGTCGCGTGGTGCCGAAAGTCGCATGCCCATGTGCATGCACGTCCCCTCGTAGTGGTGTGTATCGCCGGGGAGCATTTCTCTCCCTCATATTAGGGAGATAACATGAGAGAGGAGAGGGTCGGTTCACACATAACACGCAGACACGCCCATACCCCAAGCCCATATTCCATGCCCACGAGACATATGGCAGGTCAAGGCCTTGTCGCATTTGAGGGAGTTGTATCATTGTTTTACAGCTTTTTTATGATTTTTCTCCACTGAGGCAGCATCAAGGGAGCGGCAGCCCTGCGGTGGCAGCTTGTCTTCCCCCTTTCCCCTGACCTCCTGTCTCATGATACCATCCCATGTGCGCGATTAGGCACGTAGCAGGTCGGCTGCAATAGCATGTGGCACAAGAATAAATGTAAAAAGTAACTAAGGAGCTGTCGTTCATAAAGAGGTTGTTCGGCTCCTTAGTTAATTTTTGAAAGGTAGCATACAATCAATAGTAGCTCGCGAGTGTCTTGGCCGTAAAATCGGCAAAAGACATGCCTGGCTCCCATCGACTGTCCAAAGAGGGCAGATGCACATGCGCCCCTTTCTCGTGAATCCTATCACCGATTTTTTGGGTGACATCTTCGCGCGATCGACCTGCGGGCATAGTCATGGACTCGTCCATCTCCGGCTCCATGAACACCGCAAACGTCTCTCGACTGAGCCTTCGCTTGGCCAACGTCGTCCCTTTGACCGCGTGTGGAGTAGCTTTTAACAAGCCTCCGGAGTGAATCTGGGCCGTCTCGCCGATTTGGAAGGCCAGATGGTCGGGGGGGATGTTGACTTTCACCACCTGCCCGTTCCGGCTGAGCACGAAGAGGCCCCCCTCCTCCTTTTCTAACCCTCCATGCACACCCTTGCCAAAGCAATCGCTAAAATCAACTTCCTCCCCTTCTTCGTCCACATAGAGTGCCGACGTCAGCCCCGTAAGTGAACCGTGGTCATTGTGCCAGCCACACCATTCGCTGGCACCCGCCCAAGCCTCTCCCGTCCCTTCCCATCCCCTAGCTGCACCATCAGGGCCCTTTCCTTCCGGAATAATGGGGAAATAATGCAGGAGCCGGGCTTTGCACACCCTTGACTCCCTCACGATCTTCTCCAGTCTGTTGGGGGGGTACGCAGGGCACATCCTAGAGACGTAGGAATCGCATTGCCGTGCCACCAGCGCCCCGACCTCCACGATCAACCCTCCCATGTCTTTAAAGGCCGGCTCTAAGGCGGGAAGATCGGCAGTGGGCCAGATGTTGGGATGGAGGAACGCTGGGTATTTCTCGATGAGGTTCTGGTCGGAGCAGGGGGTGTCGTGCAAGGGGTTGGCGTAATATGAACCCTTCAGCAAGTCAGGCCGTCCCTCCTGCAAACATTCCTTCCCATGGCTCCAACCGAAGGAATAAGAACTCAACGAATGTTCGTATTTCGCCCGGACAGTCGAGGGCAGAGAGGCGAACGCGTAAGCTAGATGAAGGATGGAACGGCGCTTTTCAGAGAGCCCCGGGACTCCCGAGACTGTCAACAGGCCCATACCGTGCTCTCCGAAAGCCTGGTGAGGTAGGTCATCATCAAAATTTAAAGTGAGCGCCGTGTCAGAACACATGGAAAGGACCACGACTAAAGTGACGGGCAAAGCTCTCAGGAGTGGACCTTTTCTCATGTCGTAGTACTTTATATATGTCCCTCCCGTGAACCTCCCCTTCACCTTCTCAATCTCCCTCGACAAGTCCTTGCTGGCCAGCAAATCATCGTATCGGACCTCTACAATTCTTGTACGTGAGTTGCTGTCATCGAGTTGTTATGATGAAAAAAGTGAGGTCATGTCTGTTGTGACTTCTTCGATCGAGCTTCGTTCTTACCTCTGCTCCATCTTGAAGGCTTCAGGGACCAAGTTAGATTGGCAGTCTGGGTTACCCTCTTCCACCCTCGTTTCTCAAAAGACTCAAATAAAGCATCTGTATATCATACAGCATTGATCAGAGAACGTACATGAGGCGTCAAGGTCGTTCATAAATCAGCGGCCCTTCGGCGACACTCCTCAACTCCAAGCGCGAGCGAGTACGTCGTTCGAAGTATCTTCCTTTCCAAGCCCGACAAACTCCCTTCCGCCGAGAAGGAAAAAAATCCCGCCCCATTGCTAAACCCAAACTAATTATATTATTTCTTACATTGATCAGGTTGGAAATCGAGTTTCTCACGGACTTGTTTAACAGCGTCCCTGTTGACAAGGGTTAAGATAAGCCCTTCGGCCCATATCGAGCTCCTCGCACTCCAAGGAAGTCGGCCTACCACCTCCCTTGCCGCCTCAATCGAGCAACTTAGACGTAGCCTTGTAGCTTTCATGTCAGAGCTATCTGATAATGATGTGTTTCGATGTCATCCCTCCTTGTCAATCAAATCTATCGCATGGCTTTGCTTTGTATTGATTGCTCGCAGTGCTTCCATTGAGCAAGAAAATGTCCTGTGTCCAAGTCTTCGCTCGGGGCCGACTCTGTACTCTTCATCTGACATTTTTTCGACGGACTTCACAGAGCAAAATCAAGTTCAATCGTTTTTGAGCGAAAATTATGGCCGCGTGAACACTGATGGGGTCTTGGCCTGCCGACGCTCCGATCACTTGCTCTACAATACATCGATGAGCGGCGCAGGTTTGGAGACCGATGTGCGAGGTTTACGCATTGTAATGGACAACAACGGGGGGGCAGTATGCGATCATAATTCAGAGATAGCTACGGGCCACCTGTTAACCAGATTTTACCTGCAAGAAGGGCGGATCGACCTGACAGCACGTATGGGATACGGGCCTGACGCCGCTCCAAGATATCATAGCGAAGACAGTTTCTCATGCTTAGGTTTGTATGTGCATCAATCTGTATCCCAACATGGCTATCGAAACGAAATCTCGATGTGCGTGAGTTCCAAAGACCCAAGCACTGTTCGCATGGGGGTGTGGAATGGATCCCCTGCCGATCAAGAGGAGGCCAGGCAGGCCAAGACGTCCATGGATTTGTCCCAAGCCTTCCACACCTACAGCATCGAGTGGACTGCGAGCCGCGTGCGTTTTTGGCTCGACGACTTGAAGCTCTGGGACATGCCGGGGCAACGATTTTGTGCGGGTGTACACGCGGCGAAAATCGACGCCGGGATGAGCCAAGGGCGGCGGCTACCTTACGAGCCCATGTCTGTACGGATTATTTTAAGGCCGTTGGGGATCAAAAACAAAGCAACGACATACATGGATGCCACAAAATTTTCCTACTTCCCCCTGGTCCAGGCAGAGGAGGAGTCAGAGCCGGTGTTCCACGTGTCGGCTGGGACCTCTTTGACAACGGAAGGGTTGGGGAAGGCGCGGGGCCTGGGAAATTTGTGGCAGCTCCTCAGCATGTGTGTAATTATTGTGTATTTCATTTGAAAGCATTGGCCGATGTACACGGGCACGGCCTTTGTAAATTATTGGACGCGGGTGCCGCTGCTCGTGAGGTTCGCTTGCATGATTCATTAAGCTCATATATTTTCACGGGAATACCAGGCGACGACATCAAAGAAAAATAATTGGGCATGGTATCTGCATTCAGGCATGCACAGAACAGTACGACTTCCAGAAGGCAACATGTACCCTAACAGCATCGCTTTCAAACAGTGACTGTCGTCTCGTGACGTTGTGTTTTACTTTTCACTTGATCCCTTCGACTGCGGTCTGTCAAAGCCCCTCGTACACACATTTTTGCCGTGTGCATTGACCGTGGGACCTGCAACGATAGTAGAAACAGCGACAGCGACAGGTAAGGAACCCCGGGGATTGTGCGCAATCCGCCGACGAACATCAGCTCGGGAAGGGCCATCGCCTTGACTTTAACTAAGATGTCGTTCGCTCGACTCGTTTTTCCAATAAAACCACGAAATAACTGTGTACACCAAGCAATAAATTCGATATGCAAACAATCTATGCTAGAAGCTGCGTAAATTTGGGGGCATGTGCAACGGTCAGTACGTCATCGAGAAGACTTGTCCCATTCTGCCTTGCACTCCCCATCTCCAATCCCGTAGCAGGCACCATCCCGGCCCGTGTCATGAGCAGCCCGTCTCACTCCTACCCAACGTTGTGGCATCCCATGTAGTTTAGTCTCTTTGCTCTTATACGCCTTCGCATTTCCCATCTCTGTCTGGCGTGTGAGATGCTCAGCCCCTCTATCCTTCTCCCCCACGGGCTCTCAATAAGTCTGCGTCCGTTCCAACTTCCGTCCCTTGCTCTGCTGCTGTTGGTTCTGCACCAGGGCCTTTACAAGCTTCTTCGATTTCATTTTTTCTTGGAGCAGCTCCCGCTCGAGTTTACTACGCAGACGCGGGTGTGTCAACAAGACAGCTGCCGAGGGTCGTTGAGAAGGTTCGCGCTGATGGTAGAGGGAGGGAATAGGTCCGGGTACGGTGAAAAGGTGGGCATGTGGGTGCGGTGGTCAAGATACACATGAGAAGGATAAAAAGGAATAGGCGTGGCATCCGATTGGCAAAGCATGGCATGGAAACGAGCACTGTCGTGGGGCCCTGTTTTAAAAAGGGATGGTCTCCACCACTGTCATCACGGAGGCACCCCTAAATCCCTGCCAATTTTCTTTCAGCTGCCTACCGCCATCATCTGGGCGAGGACCCGCATCAAATCAGAGACCAGAACCGCCGGTTCTCCTTTTAAAGAAGGGGGATGCCCAGACCGCAAGGCGTGCCACTCCTCCCCGTTCGGTGGCAGAGCCCGGCCCCGGCCCATTTCGTAGACGGTCGCCCCCAGGGAGAAGATGTCGCATTTCGTCAGGTCCTTCGGTCCGTCCTGGAGGAGCTCGGCGGACATGTAGCGGGAGTCGCCTTCAACCAAGCTGTCGCCCAGACCGTCGCTGCTGTTGACGGAGGCGACCAGGCCGAAGTCCCCCAGCTTATACACACCCGCCTTGATAAAGATGTTGCCAGGCTGGGAAAACGGGAATATGAGGGAGCAAAGGAGGGAAAGGGGGGAATATAAAAGACGTTTGTGAGACGCACGGGTCATGGGGCGGACAAATGCCCTCCGGCTGCCCTGAGCTCGCCCCATACCTCCCTAGCCCCTCTGTTCCTTCCCCCCTGTGGTCCTGGGTGCTCCAAGCCACTTTCGCACCTTCACGTCCAAGTGTACGAGGCCATGTCGGTGCAACACGTCCAAAGCCAGGAGCATCTGTCGCATGAAATCAAACACCTCTTCGAAGCCCATCTTCTCCCCGGCTCGAAGCGCCCCGTCCAAGCTCTCCTCGCACAACTCTGTCTGCATGAAGAGACGCTCGTCCTCGATCCAAGCCTGGTGGTACCGAACAACATGCAAGACTTCCTCGCTGCTGTCCGCAGCGCACACTTTCGCCAACGCCTTCACCTCTTGCAGGTAACGGTTTCGGTCTGCGGGCCCCCGGAAACGGCGACGGGTGCACTTGACCGCATATTCCACCCCGTCCACCCGGCTTCGGACACGGTAGACCTCCCCGAAACAGCCCGAGCCTATGACGCGGACAACGTCAAAGTCCGTTTGGAAACGCGACACCGGCGTGGTCGGCCCATGACCCTGATGGAGGGAAGTCCGCCGGCCGCTGCTTCCTGGCCCGGCCCCGCTGCCTCGGTGCTTGTCGGTGCTACAGGGGTTGCTGCCGCGGCCGTTCCGTTTGGAGGAGTGCGTGGGGTGATGGTGGGAATGCGGTTCGTGGGGATGTCGGTGGAGAGAGGAAGGCGTCCTGGTGGCAGAAGCCGGGGCATAGCCCGGATGGGCGGGTTTGTATGGAGTGGGAGGAGGGAAAGCCATTACATCAGACGGGCTCTCATCCAAGAAATAGTTTTTCCCAAGTTCATCTTGCATAGCATAGCCACGTTGGAGATCTCGGTTAATATTCTCCCGTAGATGCGCCTGGGGAGGTCCCATCGGTGCGGAGTAGGGCTGGTGCTGCGAATTATGACCAGAGAAAGGGGAGGCGATGGGCCGTGATAGGTGAAAATCGCAATTAGCACGTCCATTTCTCTTGTAATCGCTGGATGTGGAAGATGAAGAGGGGGGCAGGGGCGGCAATGGTGAACAGGTGGTTTCGTAGTCATCGACAGGCGTGAATGTACGTTGCAATCCTCCTGGGGAAGGTGGACGGGGCAGAATATAGTCGTCACTACCGCCTGGGCTACCGCCACTTCCTCCCCCATCTTCCATTTTTAGCGGACCGTCGTCGTCGTCCAGGTCCATCATCATTGATGACATCTGCGTCGCAGTATGACTGGTTGATAGAAACGGGCAAGGGGAGATGAGATTCCGGGGATCGAGAACGAGTGACAATACTTTTTCGAAAAGATAGAGGGGCAATGAGTGCGTCATGTCAGTGTCAGGTCTTCATCTGGATCTCATATGCAAGAGATCTCTCGTAAAGTGCACGCATGCCATGTCAAGGCTATTGTGATGCTTGAGTATTGGTGCACGTGTCCTTGATTTTTTGAACAGGGCTTTTGGGCGGGAAGGGGGGGCAGGGATGGGGCTGGCGGCCAGCGTCAGCTGTCGCTCCGTCCGTCGCTAATTATGATGGAAAAGATACCCTCGCCCGTCATCTTCAAGTCGTTCCTTACCGGTGGTTTTGGGGCTCACTCGCATTAAGAGGGCAAGAAAATGCTTCACGTAAGTCCCTCACGACTTATTCTTTGGATTTTGATACAGGATTGTCATTTATTTGGCGGATATTTTACGCTTTTGAGGTCTTCTGTTCTGCTCTTCCTTCGATGCCGCGCATCCTGTCCGTCGCTTTCGTGTGTTGCTGCTATCATGCCTCAACAAGCGCATTTTTCTTGCAGCCAACCTTGTCCACGAAGATGGCCTCTATTACAAGCGTGCGCCAAACAGCGGCATTGGAAGCAGGGACATCAGCCTCATTGGATGATCAAGCAGAGTACGTACTTGTTCGGCCAATATCCACCCCTCCACATTCCTGTTTCTGGCTGAGTCTCGTCTTGTACTTTTCGTAGATGAAGATCAGATGCATGGTTTGTTTAAGATACAAAACCATTTGTTTACTTTGTGCTGTGTCTTCTTCAACCTTCGGCATTCTCCACGCGATTCTTGCTATTTGCCCTCATCCCTTCGGGCTAAGAAGTCACTTTCTTGCATTTAAATTCTTCCCACAATTCTAGCTTCGTGAAGGCAGAACTCGCTCGTAAGAAGCAAGAATATGATGCCTCCCTAAAAGCGAGAATTTCTGCCTCCGTAGCTAATGCAGACGTAGCCGACAGTATCCCGCCTCTTGATTCTCTCCCTTATGTGCCCTATTTGGATGAGACCGGTAAAATCAACGACTGCGGCGCTGATGCTAAGGTGAAGGCGAGTGTATACGCACTGTATGATGAGAGCGAAACTGTGCGATACATTGGTGTTTCCCGCTCCGTGACGCAAAGCCTGCGCTTGCACTTGGCGCGGATGCCTGAACAGACCTACGGCTTCCGCGTTTATCACATTTCCAAGCCGACCCGTGTCTTGTTGGAAATCACGCGCGATACGTGGGTCGATCAGCTGGGCTACCAGCCTCAGGTATGTGCTTGCTTGAGGAGGTTCCTTTCTCTACTGTGTGGGTGGTGACGCGTGACGGAGTCGGGTGCACGGTGTCCACGCCAGACTACTTGGGTATCTCTACGTGAAAGAGGCAAAAAGAGTTTTACATCAGTACGAGGGAGAGATAAATGAAGGATTGTCTCCGGCGAACGAAGCACTTTGCAGGTGGCTTCGTCTCAATTACTCCTTTCCTCTTCGTATACGCACTCCCTCTTCCATGCAGGGCAACGATAACGGGCCAAATCAACAGCTTTGGGAGAGCGCTTTGGATGTAAAACCTTTGATGAACGAAGCGGATCACGCAGCCCTAGGTATGTGGGTATCCGTGGTGGGCGTTGCAAGAGCCTGGCCTTCTGTGTTTTCCCTCTCGACGATGCGATCTCATTCCGTATATATTCCTCCCATGCCCCCTTGTGATAGTGCTTTTTTTGAGTATAAACAATATCTTCCTATTACTTACCCGGTCTAAATGAGACCGTCCTTGTTCCATTTCTATATTTTATTTATTTCCTTTCACGCTGACCTTGACAGAAACTGCCCGCATCAAGCAGCGTTCCGAGGAAAACGCAATGAAGAAAGTGACGCGCCGCTTCGAAGAGGCCAAAATATCTGTTTTGAATGCCCGAGGTGTAACTGAGAGTCTTCGATTCGACCCCAAATTGAAAGGAAAGGGGTTGCTGGATTTGTACTTAGAGAAGCAACCTGATTCAGCGGTGCCTGATTCCAAGCCTTCATCGAAGAAAACGTCGTGAGAAAGCTGACTACAAGAATAATTAGAATACCAGAGCTTCGTGTGAAATGTCGAGAAGCTGCAAAGAGTAAGGGGAACAAGGAGGAGTGGATTCCTGGAACAAGGGATATTTTGGTTTTTGATTGGGTCATCAAAGGAATAGGAAAGGAGCGAAATGGCTTTAAAGCTACCTCTTCAACCGGCAATATTAAATTGACAGCTTGCAAATTTCAAAGTCCTTTGTCGCGCTGTACTTTTTCCTAATTTAAGAAATTCAAGGTTGCTCCCCAAATTTCGACGCATTACTTCCTGCACGTCTATTCTACACAACTGCCATCTCCAACAAAGAGTCAAAGACATAAATTACGCACCCAACAATCCCAAAATTTGAAGCCCTAGTGTGCGTTCGTGATCTGCTCCATGCAGAAAAATGGCGGCCAAATGCATGCTATCCTTGGGGAGTGGGGAGGTTATAGGAATTCCTGTCCCCGACTGAGGCCATCGACACAGCGTGGTATTCTCCTTGTTTCCCCTTTTCATGTCCGCGACTGGAACTGGCGCCAATACATCTCCCCATGATACAACATACATAACAGGTGAAGAGCCTTTTGTGTAGCTTCCCATGCGTTTTTTAAACGCAGCTCTCCACTATTGCGACCGGCAACTCGCTATCTGAAGCGTAAAAGACGTAGCCATGATATCCGCCTCTTGATGGGACTTTGGCAGTTTCTTGCACGATAAAAGGTGACATAATTGAGCATGGCAACATTGGAGATGGAAAACTCGTCAGTACACTTTCTAATTCAGGGCCTAAGGAGCAAAGATGCCCAAACTCGGACTCGGTACGTTTCATGATTCTCATCTCGACAGCCAGAAGTTTAGGGATAACATGTGCAGGCTTCAAGTGGTACAATCGCACGTCAGGTGTTTCCTCATGTGTCTTGTTCTTCCCCGGTGTAAAGTACAATGACCTCGTGTTTCTCGCGGCTTTTCTTATGCGTGCACCTCCCTTTGGCTTATCATGGATCTCGAACATGCCCTCAGTGCCGCCAAAGAGCTTCGCAGCTCGATGGAGTCCGCTTCCCGGAGTCTGTCCATTGAGACTTTTGCCCGATTTGAACAAGACCTCTTCCAACGAGTATTTTCTCTGGTTCACGCGCCGGATTCGCCACTGTGGGAAAAGCTGGGCGGGTTGGAGGCAATGGACGAACTCCTCGACGTCCCCTCCGCGGATACTGAGACCAAAGTGATCAAATTCGCCAACAAACTGTCCTTCTCACTACGGTTTGTCCTGGAGGGTCACGTTTTAAGGAGGATGACTGCGTTTTCTTGGGGAAGGATGGTCGATGTGGGGCCTTCGCTGACCTCCCGAGTGGCTTCCCCCCTCTCCCCGTTGCCCTTCCTCCAGATCCTCCATCGAATACGAATTTCTCCTCCAGGCATCCAGGACGCTGGGGCACCTCGCCCGTTCCTCTGTAGTGCCCAACGCGGACTACGTGGAATTTGAAGTGGACCGGGGGGTGGAATGGCTGTCGTCGGAGCAGTCCTCGCGTCGCTTGGCGGCTTGCTTTGTCTTGAAAGAACTGGCCGCAAACGCGCCTACCTTGTTTTATGCCAAGACGGGGGATTTCCTGGACAGGGTATGGGTGGCCCTACGGGACCAGAAGCCCATCATCAGGTTGAATGCGGCGCGGGCCCTGAGTGGGTGCCTACGGATGCTGTCGACTAGGTAGGGCGACGGCCTTGGGGAAGATCGCGCGCGGCCCCTTTCGGTGGAGGGGCACGCCTGCGGAGTCTTCCCGCGCGAAAGCTTGACGTTGATGGCTTTTCTACTTATAACAGGAGCGCGTTGAACCACGTTAATTGGTATTGCAAGGTGTATGAACAGGTCCAAGTGGGTCTTCTGACCGGGCCGGGCAAGGGAGGGCAGACGTCGGCCATGCATGGCTCCCTGCTGGTGGTGGGCGAGATGCTTTCCTACACCGGTGATTTCATGGTGCCGCGCTTCCAGGTAGGGAGGGAGAGCGGGGGGG